GGTTTTCCATCCATTTACTCAAACCTTCCTCCATCTTACTTTAAATCTGTGGCCCCCTCGTGATTTATTCCTCCATCAAGAGGAAATGTTTCTTTCAGTCTACCCCATCAATGTCCCTCCTTATTTTGTACATCTCAATCTTGCCTCCTGTAAATCTCCTCTGCTCTAAGGAAAACAAACCAAGATTGTTCAATCCCTCTTCATAACTGAAACTCTTCAGCCCAGAACATATTCTGGTCAACCTCTTCTGCATCGTTTCTCGTACGATCACATCCCTGCTATAATGTGAATTACAGAACTGCACATAATACTCTAGCTATAGCCGAATGAACAAATGAAGTAACTGACGCAGAAAATCACAGAAAATAGTCTATTTCATCGAAGTCTCTTTTGAGCAATGCTGTACTGTACCTTTTCCTGACTCTGATACTCCAGTAATCACTGGTGCATGTCAGGAAAAAGCTGCTCCATGATGTTTGGTCCCACAACCGCAGTATCTCATTGGATCGACTGGTTTGAAGGTCCCGTTGGTAAGTCTGGAGCACGTTCATTCAGCGACAGTCGAAGTAACAGGACAGACTGAAAGGTGTCAATGTAAAAATGAATGTTAGATTGCGCAGTGCCTCAGTAAAGTGAACCGAGGAATGTAAAGGAGGTTTGGTGATTGTGGGAGGGACAGAAATCTTCAAGAACTGGGCTTGAATTCTGATACATCAAACGCAGATACGCAAAATAGCGAGTGTTTGAGGGAAGAAAATCATCAGCTCGGGGAATATTTTCATGTAAAAATGTTTGATATTTTGCTGCATTTCTGTAGCACCTATCACAAGGCCTAAAAAAAGCGACAAACACTCACTGCCATGACTTGGATTCGAACAAAACCCCGACAGCCACAACACAGAGTAGCAGCGCAACAGAACAATACATGGTTCACCAAGGCAATGTGTAGAGTGGCAGCAGGTATGTTAAGAGCAGTACCAGTTACACAACAGGAATTCTTGCTGAACAGTGGACTGAAATGCGGGGACTCAGTGTGAGCTGAACTTTTAACTTCGATGCTTCCCAGGGGCAGTGGAGATTCCATGATTCATTACGTTGATCGCTAAGATTGATAGTTTTCTACAAAACATCAAGGACTCAGGGGATAGTTCAGGATATTGTTGACATGTATTTTTCAATAGCAATTTAGTTTTATGTCGGTTACTTCATCAGTTCCCACACACAAGGAAGTAACCACTCCTGCAGATGATCATACAATCCCAGTTCCTCGACCCGGAACCAAAAAAACTCAGTGCCCCAGCCGTGAAGATACAACCAGAAATGGGGATGGCACTGAGTGCGCGGAGCTACTCTGTGGCTCGAGTTAAAACTGACTCAGAAATAGTAGGAACTGCCGATGCCGGAGAATCTGAGAAAACAATGTGTAGAGCTAGATGAACACAACAGGCCAAGCAGCATCAGAGGAGCAGGAAAGCTGATGTTTCGGGTCTGGAACCTTCTTCAGAAATGGGGGAGGGGAAGGGGATTCTAAAATAAATAAAGATACCTTGGAGTGGACATTCACAAATTCCTGAAGGTGGTTGGACAGGACAATCACATGGTCAAGAGGGTTGTGGGATACTTTCTATTCTCGACCACAGGCTGGACTATAAGATCAGGAAGTTGATGCTCGAGCTTTAGAAGATCCAGGGCAGAAACAGGCTTTTTGGCCCGTCAATTTCACTGCACCACTCAATGAGATCATTATTGATACTGCTCCAAGTCAGGATGGTACGCACCCTGGAGGAGAACTTGCAGATGGTGTTGTTTTGATGCATTCTGTGCTCTTGTCCTTCAGGGTGGTAAGAGCTTGCAGGCTTGGAAAGTGCTGTCAAAGGAGAGTGGGTGAGTAACTGCAGTGCATTTGGTAGATAGTGCACTCTGCTGCCACTGTACCTCAGTAATGAAGGGAGTAAATGCTGAAAGTACTGAATGGGGCACCAGTTAAATGGACTGCATCGTCTTGGATGGTGTCAGGTTTCTTGGTGTCATTGGAGCTGCATCCATCAAAGCAAATTGACAGTGTTCTTAATGACAGACATTCTTAAATGATGCACAGGCTTTGGGGAGTCATGAGTTGAACTAATCACGATAGAATCTTTTCCCTCTGACCTACTTTTGTAGGCACAATATTTAAATATCACACCCAGTTCAGTTTCTCATCACTACTAGCACCCCAGGATGATGATAGTGGGCAATTCAGTGAAGATAAAACCATTGAATGTCAATGAGTTATGGTTAGATTTTCATTTCTCAGATTTGGTCATTAGTTGTTGGGACTTGGTGCAAATGTTCTTTGTCACGTAGCAGGCTAACTTCAATGTTGTCCAGGGACACTGCACTTAAATATCTACCACTACAGTAGCTGAGTCACAAATGGTGTTAAACATCGCGCAATCATTGACAAACATATCCACTTCTGACCTTATGACACAGGGGAGGACATTGATGAAACAGCTGAAGGTGCTTGGGACCAGAAACTGATGCTGAGGAATTTCTGAAGTTGAGATAGCTGGCCTCTAACAATCACAGGCACCTTCCTCTGTATTCAGTATTATCCAACTAAGGTGAAGTCGGGCAAGGAGGATAGGAGAGATACAAGGGGAATATAAAAATATAAAAGGAAAGCAGTGGAGCATTAAAACACAGAACAAGTGGGAGATAAACTTGGACGAACAGTACAGCATAGGGCTAAGAGTCAAATACAACCATGTAATGACAGTTATTTCGTCTCAGGTAGTTTAAATGCATATCTATGTGAACCGTCAGCAGTTACTAACTAAAAATACTCACTTCAGTATCACTCACAAAGAAAGGCTTGCGTGCTGTGAGCTGATGGTAGGGACAGAGAAACTCTGAAGATAACATGGAAATAGAAGACCCATTGAAATGAGAGGACTCAAGACTTTGTAAGAAACTGAACAGCATCCTGTTTTTGTAGTCAATGACTTATCTAATTTATTTTATGCCAATGTTATATACAACCATCCTGACGTGAAAATGTCTCAATATGCTGTTTTGAGCTGCAAATGGTAGAGTATCTCCAAGCGAGACGAGGAGACCTCTTCCGCATATATGTGGTACAAGCTTGAATAAATTCACCTTGTTTTGATCTACTCAGGTCTGAAGATGCAATCTTTTCAAAAACCCACAATCAAAGCGAGAATCATATTCTCTGAATCCCGTTGACTCCAGTTTTGCTATGATTCCTTGATACAATGCTCTGTCAAATAGAGCCTTAAGATGGCAGGAAAGTCACACTCTGATTTGGAATTCAGCTGTTTGGTCCACGTTCGCACCAAAAATGTCAAGAGATCAGGAGATGAGTGGCCCTTGCTTAACTCAAACTGAGATCCATCACTGTGAGATTGCAAAGCAAGTGCTGCTTGATGTCATTGTTGTCATCCTGTTTTGACTGCATTTAGGTATCGACAGGCCAGACGATTGACTGAAGGCTTGTCCACACAGACCACGTGTACGGTTTCTCTTCACCGTGAACGATGCTTTTTTCTTCCACGTTCAAAGCTCTCGAGAATTGAGTGTTACTGGCAGCTGTTGATCCAATTTTTGACTTGAGCTGCCTGTCTGTAAATCCTTTCCAATTCCCTAGAAAATAAAGTTAAAAACAGTCAAACGTGGAATGAAAACTTCTGGATTGTTAGAAAAACCCACCTCGATCATGAATGTCCTTGAAAGGACAGAAGATGAAAAATACAGGACAAATCAGGCTGTGGGAACTGGCTACTGAGCCAGTCATCATTTCTGCAGGGCCAGCGGGGGTGGGAGGTTTGAGTGATACCACAACAACGCTGTCTGTATAACAATACAAACCGTACAACTGTCTGACCATAACTTGTGTCAGCCTGTACTTGGATAAATGTAAATGACCTGAGCTTGCTGAAAAGCATTACTGTAAACAAGTGGGAATTCATGGGCCACCTTCAGACACACGCGGTCCCTCTTTGTACTGGTGAGACTTGCATTTGGACTACTGTGTTCAGTTCTAGTCACCGTACTTATAGAAAGTTGTTAATACATTGGAAACATTTCAAAGAAGATTTAATGGACTAATACCTAGAATGAGTCGAGTGCCTAATGGGGAAAGGGTAGACAGGCTGGGCCTGGATCCTCTGGAGTCTAGAAAAAAAAAAGAGGAGACTAAATTGAAATTTGAAAGATACTAAAGGGAGCCGACCACGTGGATGTTGAAAACATGGTCCCTTTTGTGGGAGAATCTAGAACTGATGGTCATTGTTTAAAGGTAAGGGTGAATCCATTTGAAATGGTGAGGAACATTTCTTTTCTCGAAGAGGGTTGTGAATCTTTGTAACTCCCTTTGTCAAAAGGCAGTGGTTGCAGATTGTTAAACTTTTTTTTTAAGGCAGAAGCAGACAGATTCTTGATGACCGAGATGATGAAAGATATTCAGGGATACGCAGACACAGAGTTGAGGTCGAAATCAGATCAGCCCTAATCTTATTGAATCTCAGAGGAGGCTCAAAGGGCCGAGTGGCCGACACTTGTTCCTCATTCATATGCTCGAATGAACCAGAGAACAAAGAAACACAAATCTTGTCTGATTACTGGGGGTCAGGAGGGTGTTTGCGCTCCTACTTCACCTACTCGGTATATTAGTTCCATTTTATCCCCTCACCCAGCTTCAATTAACATCCTTTTATTTCCAGGGAATACACCATTTTTGGTGAGATGAGGCATTTTGATAGAAGGAGAAGAGAACATATGAAATAGGATCTACAGTTGTCCATTACGCCCCTCGAGCCTCAAAAAGGTCAAAGCTCATCTATTTAGGTTTCAATTCCACATTCCCAGTCGGCCTTGATAATGTTTTTTCCTTTATTCCTGTGGGCATTGCTGTTAATCCATCCAGTTGTCATTGAGAGGGTGGTAGTGATCTGCTTTCATGAACCACTGTATTCCATGAGCTGCAAGTGGACCCACAATGCTGTTAGGGAGGGAATTCAGGATTTTGACCCAGCAATACTGAAGGAATAGTGATATATTTCCAATTAAGGATGGGGAGTGGCTGGGAGGGAATTCATGCCCAACATCCAGTCTCAGAGACCGACAGCACAGAAAAAGCCTCGGCTGACTCTGTCTGATTTTGTCACTATCATCTGAGGAGTCTGTTATCCCACCTTTTATAGTGGACTCGAACATTTTTCCCACCAACAATGTTATGCAAATTCCATGTTTTCTTTCTGACTTCCTTCTTAAATACTGGGGTTATGTTAGCTACCCTCCAAACCATCAGAACTCTTTGGCGACTGTATAGTACTTTGGAGTATAACCACTAGTGCAGCTGCTCATTCTAAGGCCACTTCCTGAGGTACTCTGAGATGAAAGTTATCAATCTCTGGGGATTTATCTGCCTATTACCTCATTAGTTTTCCCAATTTCTTACAATTCCACCTTCCAATTAGACCCTGTGATCCCCTTAATTTTGGGACATTATTTGTGTGCCCCTTTTTGAAAATCTAAGATATATTTAATTGGTCTGTCATCACTTTGCACTCCATTATAAATTCCCTGTTTGATTGTAAGGAGACCCTACATTTTTCTTGACTAATCTTGGATTATCAATCTTCAATTAAGAGTTTAATGATGATCATGAAACCGTTGTTGATTGTCAGGAAAAACCCATCTGGCTCACTAATATCCTTCAGGGAAAGAAACTGTCATCCTTACCCGGTCTGGTGTATATGTGACTCCACCCCCACTGCAATGTAGTTAACTCTGGGCAATCAGGGATGTGCAATAAATTCTGACCTAGTTAGCAATGTCCACATCCTGTGAATGTCTATTTTAAAAATGCTGTTGGTCTTATGGTCCATGCAAGAGTACTCTCAGATTCTATTTTCTCCCTCAAATTAAATCCCTTTGTCTCCCTTTGCTGAAATCTAAACGGTTCCCAATCCTGAGGTCTGTTGTTTTATTTATCCAATTTGTATGCTGCTTCCTTAAATTTAATACCCGCTCATTTCTCTTTCTCTGCCATGGTTTGACAACGTTTCGATTTTATTTTTATGCCACAGCTTGTCCACGTCCTCTTTCAATGTTTGCCATTACCCATCTCCCATCATCCATTTAAATTGTGGTCCACAATTTATCACAACTGGCTCATGCCTCATACCAATCTAACTTCTTTTATTTAATTACAGGACTCTCGTCTCAAAAACAACGACATCACTCTCCATCTTAATGTTGAATTCTATCCTGTCGTGGTCACTCTTCCTTAAGGGCCCATGCTCAACTCGATTGTCAATTATTCCTTTCTCACTACCCAATACTCATCTGCTTTTTCAACCTAAAATTGTACCATATATACGCTAAGAATTCCTCCTCTATCTTATTGCTACTGATGCTATCTGCTCAATTTATATGTAGGTTGAAGTCACCCATAATTACAGCCATAACTTTATGCCTTGTAGTTCTAAATTCCATTCTAATGCCTTCCCCAATATTACTGCAGCTTGGGGTCTATATACAACACTAATATCACTTTCTCTCCGTTGACGTTTGAGCTCAACCCATAGAGATTCTACTTCACCACACCCTATATCCTGGCTCACATCATATTACTTTACTGTTTTAGTCAGCAGTTCCAGCCGAATCCTATTCCATTTCGCCTGCCCAACCTATCCTCCTTAGACAACCCACTTATTCCAGGGGTCAATCTAGTCAACTTTCTCTGAACCACTTCGAATAAGCGTACAGACGACCAAAACCTGCACGAGGTATTTGAGATTTGGTCTCTTCCCTTCCCTGTACAAATGAAGCAGAACATCCTTACATTGATGTTTAATTCCTGTGATAATAAAGCATACAGCCTATTGGCTTTCTGGATTAGACCGAGATCTTAGTCAATTGGGTCAATGGGCTAAAGAGTGGCAGATTGAACTTTATTTGAATAAATGTTTGTTTTATTCAAAATGGAACACTTCACATGGGCAGGACTTATACAATTAATAGTAGGGCCCTGGGTACTATTACAGAACAGAGAACCTAGGCTTTCAGGTACATTA